CCCCCCCGCAACCGGTGGCACGCGTGGCGGGGGCTGCCGTGAGCCGGGCGGGGAGCGCGGTCTCAGAGGGCTCTTAAAAGGGCGATGCGACCGGCGGGCAGAGCGCGGCGTGGGGCGGAGGGGAGGGGGGGGGGGGGGGGGGGGCAATGAATGCGGCGGTTCCCCCATTTCCAGGCTCCGCCGAGAGGTGTTGTGGGGAGACCCCCGTGCGGTTTGTTCTTGTTGGGTGGGTGGGTGTCTCATGGTGCTGAGCGTTGTGTTGGATTTCAGGGAAAATGGGGTCCTGATGGAGGTCCTGGGATGAAGCACGGGGGGGGATACTGAGCTGGTTGAGGGGGGTGAGACCTTGCCTTGCCTCACCCCCTCGGTTGGTCCCGGGGTGAGACCCTCCTTAGAGGCCCTGTGGCAGGGAGGTAGCACAGGACAGCTTCGTTTCAGGGGGTGTTGAGCCCAAGCAGACGTGGGGGATCATCCTCGTGTCCCCCCATCAGCAAAGGCGGTGGCAAAGAGGACAGCCTGGGCACACTGTCATGGCGGCATGGATGGTGGCTTTCACATCCCGTCCTCCGCGGGAGGCTGGTCAGGGCTTGCAGTGGATTTGGGGTGAAGGTAGTGTGCCTGCCCCCTCTCTGTGGTGCCCAGACGGCGTTCCCGGCAAGGGCAGTGTAGTACCCAGTGCCAAGAGGCTGTCCCAGACCCTGCCCTGAGGGAAGGTCCGCTCTCCTCTCTCTGCTCCAGCAGGATTTCCTATTTTGGCGTATATATTTCTATAAAATTCCTACCAAACCCAGTACCCCGCTCTTTCCTCCTGGGGGAGAAGACGAGAAAACAAACACCCCGTGACACCCATTAGTCACATTTTTTAATGTGCTGGCGGCCGAGTCTCGAGCGCTACCACAAGAAACGCGGTGTCAATCCCCACCTCCCTTTGCTTGGGCTACTTTTTTTTTTTCTTTTTTCTTTTTTTCTTTTCTTAAGGAGGGAAATATTTTTTCCAACCTTGCTGTCAAAGAGAAAGGGCGATAGTTCACAGGGCTCCTTCCATCATGGAACATAATTCGCGGCAGGAGAGGTGCGAGGAAACGGGGAGCAATGCTGTTTCCTCCGGCAGCAGGAGGAAGGCAGCAGCTTTGGTTCCTATTTATTTCCTATTAAGGGAGGTTTTAACAGCAGCCACCAGCGATTTGAAGGTGCTTCTACACTCCTTTGCTGCTTCTTTTATCTTCTGCGCAGCAAGATAATTTTTTGCTACAGAAAAGTGGGTAGCTGAAGGCCTTTGGTTGCGATTGCCTTAATAAAACTGTGGAATTCAGACCTCGGGAACAGACACTGGGGGAGGCGAGGAGAGTGTGGGTTATGGGAATGGGGTCATGGAAAAGGGGGGCCTGACCTCTGTGGTATCCTGATGGACTTGTAATTTGTACCGCAGCTCAAATGGGGAGTACCAGCACCAGCAAGGAGCAATACCAGCAGCATAGAAAAGGGAGAGCCTCTCTCCCTTGGTATTTACACCTGATTTTCTCACTTTTATCTTTTTACCTAGTGGGAAATATATGTTCCACCCTAAGCTGTGAATCCCAATGCTTCCAGATTTTTCCAAGCCCAAAGTTTAATCTGGATCTCCATTCTCTGCCTCAAAACCCTTTTGCCTTCCCGATTTTTGGCATCACATGTGATCCCAAGCTGGCAAGGATCCTAGTTCTTGCTTAAGGGATGGCTAAAGCCTCCTGAGAACAGGTACTCTGGCAAAACACCGTCCTGGGACGACCCTTGCCAGCTGTGCCTGCTCCTGCTCGCACACCTTGCCTCCGCTTTGAGCTCTAGCATGCCCAAGAGCAAACGCTTTCCCTGTATCAGCGGGACTGGGGATACTAAAGTAGCTAATTTTTTTTAACTTTCTCTCTCAGCAGCGTTGGGTTGGGTACACTGGGCTCCACTGTTTCCCTTCCCTTTGAAAATGGGACATTATTCTGACTCCTTCACTTGGTGTCCTCTCAGTTACTGTTTCGCAGGGCTGAGCATCTCACGGGTCACGCACCCATGGGTGCTTCCCGAGCCCAGCAGCTGCTTGAATCTTCTTTTCCCTTACGCAAACCATCCCCCGCCCTCTACTAAGTGAGTTGCGCACATGGAGATAAGGTGAACCTGCTTCTAAGAAGAAGAAAATAGATCGTTTTGTTCTTGGTGAGATTGCGATGACCAGATTAAAGCTTTTTCCAAGCCAGGTGCCTTCTACCGGCAGAAATTGCTGGAGTCTTTTGAGTTCATTAGCTCTGAGCTTTTGTTGCTGTTCAATGGCACTGACTTTGAACTCTCCCCACCCTGCTGCTGAGAGGTCCAAGGTGGAAGCACAAGATTTAAGATTTAAACTTGCTCCTTCTCAGTAGAAGTTTTTCTCTCAGGTACCCAGTCCGCACCTTCCTCTTGACCCTCTGGGGAACCGAGGAAAGAA